GCATTCCATCACCCCGCCCCATTCTCCCGCTTTCCATCACCCTGCCCCATTCTCCCGCTTCCATCAGCCCACCCCATTCTCCTGCTTTCCATCACCCCGCCCATTCTCCCGCTTTCCATCAACCCTGCCCCATTCTCCCTCCTTCCATCACCCCGCCTCATTCTAACCTCCTTCCATCACCCCTGTTATAGTCACAGTAGGCTCCAATGTGCCTAAAACGAAAGATAGAGTGCACAGTCGGATTTCTGCTTAGTGGCTTCAAACGTTCATAGCGTTTTGGTCACAGCTTAAAATGACTTGATTCAACTTGGATCTGGAGCGTCTTATTGTCGCCTACAATAGGCAATTTAGATCGCACGATTTGACCAAGTATTGACGACACAGGGTTGGTTTGAACGAACGGCACTATGGCAGCCACTATAGTCTTAGAACACAAGATAGGAAGAGTTAGGAAGAGTCACGAGTTGGGAATGACTCCCAGCTCCTACAAACCCCAAGAGCCGAGGTACAGTGATATGGAACAGTGCCACACTGTCCCCAACCACGAAGGGTCTCGAAACTACCCTTCACTAGGGCCTACACCAAGTGAAATGTTACACTACACAAAGTAATGTAACTATCTTCAATATCTTGAGGTGTACCCTTTTGGCGAGCTTTGAAATCACTTGTGGATTGACACCAAGGCTCGGCTCTTCATCACAAACTCATCCTTGAGCTCTTGATGGGTCTGCTGCACACACCTGCGACACATCGAACGTTCGACACAGGACAAAAGAGAAACCGCGCACGACAAAATAGAAACCGCGCGCGAGACACAAACGACCGCGTAACACGCGTCTAGCCATAACTCGCTATTGACTCGACACATACACTCGACATCATGACTCAACATTCACACACAATTATAAGCATTAAATATATATTATCACATGCCCTCATACCATTTCATAGACACACACACATGCACGCACACGGACAACAAGCCGAGTGCAAACCATAGGGTTGCACCAACAAACTCCCCCTCGGATTGTTGGCCTTAGGATATGTTGCTCTGTCAGTTCAGAGCCATCCCAGCCAGCTTGCAACACTTCCAATGCTGCTGCTCCACCAGCCTCTTGGTCATCATGTCAGCCGGCTGCCCCGTGGTCTTCACGTAGCGCAACTCAACTTCACCCGCGGTTACCATGCTCCTCCTCCAATGCCACTTCACCCTCATGTGCTTCGTAAGTCCATGCAACACAGGGTTCTTAGCAAGAGCAATGGCACCCTGGCTGTCACAATATAGTGGGGTAGGTCCTTGCTGCTCCTCCCCCAATTCAGCCAACAAACGCCGCTGCCACACAATCTCCCGTACGGCACGGAAGAGTGCCATGTACTCGGACTCCACCGAGCTCAAAGCTTGGTCAACCTGCTTCTTGCTCTCCCAAGCAGTTGAGCCTCCACCAACACAGCATATGAAGCCTCCCACACTCTGCCACTACCATCATCAAACCCCTCTGGCTGCGCCATAAAAATCTCCTCCTCAAGGATGCCGTTGAGGAATGCCGTCATAATCTCCATTTGCTTCACCACCCATCCTTTGATGGCGGCTCCCGCGAATAGGGTTCGCAGCGTCGTCGGCTTCACCACAGGGGCAAACAGCTCCTTGAAGTCCACCTTCTCCTTCTGCTGGTACCCCTTGGCTACAAGCCTAGACTTGTAACGCTCGATCTTGCCGTCGGCATCCGACTTGATTTTGAAGAGCCACTTGGACGTTATCGCCGTACGCCCCTCCGGTAGCTCCACCAATTCAAACGTGTCATTCTCCTCGATGCTCTTCAGCTCACTCTCCATGGCCTTCTTCCACTCCTCAGCATCACTACTCTCCAAAGCCTCCTTGAGAGTTGCTGGTTCTCCCGGCATCTCCACCGGAGAGAAGAACGCGAAGGCACACTCCTCGTAGTCACTCTTCTCATCGTCTCCGACCATCATTGCCGCTCCGGCCAGGGCTTTCTTGCCTTGCTTTCCAAGTGCATCATAGGTCAGCCTATTAGGGGGTTGAATTCTCCTCTTCCCCCTTCCTTCCTCCTCAGCTGCAGGGACTTGAAGGCCTTGGCGTTGCTGCGGTGTGGCTCGATTCCGTGGAGCACTCGTGGTACGGGAAGGGAGTGACGGTGCACGCTCGCTCACTTGCTGCACCTCCTCCTCTTCTTCCTCTGCATCAGTGGCCTCCTCTCCCCCATTCACAAGGGAGGATTGCCTCGTGGTTGTGCTGCCGCTGCTCAGCTCCAAAGGCAACTCCACATGCTCCAAACCGGAACTCTTCACCTCCCCAAACCGCACGCCTATCTTCGCCTCATTCTCCGCCTTCCAATCCTTGTACATGAAGTTCTCCATGAACTTGCAGTCCCTGCTCACCAAGAACTTCTTGGTGAATGGGTCCCAAAGAAGCCATCCCTTGCTGTTTTGAGCCATGCCCAAGTGCACGGCCCACACCGCCTTGGCACCAAGCTTGTTGTGCCGAAGATGCTTAGGCACAAGCGCCATGCACATGCACCCGAACACCCGAAGCATATCCACCTTTGGCTTCCTTCCTAGCCACTCCACATAGGGCACCCATTTGTCTGCTCCCACATGAGTCAAGGCTCTGTTCTTGGCCACACATGCGCTCCGCACCGCATCAGGCCAGAAATAGTCGGGTAGCCCGGCTTCAATGAGCAACCCGCGTGCCGCCTCCGTGATTGTGCGGTTCGCTCGCTCAGCGATGCCGTTCATTGCAGGGGAGTATGGCATGGTGAGGGAGTGCCGAATACCATTCTTCTTCAGCCACTACCCAAACTCCTTGCTCAGGAACTCTCCCCCTCGATCGGTGCGGATTGACTTGACTAGACGGTCTTGTTGCCGCTCCACCATCGGGAACCAATCCGCCTTCAACGTTTCAGCCACGTCGCTCTTCTTGGCCAGCACGTACACCCAAGTCATACGGGTGTAGACGTCCACAATAGTGAGGAAGTACTCAGCTCCAGCAGCTCCAAGCTTCAGGGGGCCCACCACGTCCATCACCACCTCATCAAGTGGTGCCTTAGCCGTTGCCTCCGAACTAGAGAATGGGAAACGGGTGAACTTGGCTTGCATGCACGTCGGACAGCCAAGTACCTCATCGGGCTCCCCCTTCACACGTATGCCAGCAACCATCTCATTCTTCACTAGCTGCTGCAAGATGGGCAGGGCCACATGCCCCATGCGCCGATGCAAGGTGAGCCAATCACACTCCCCCGTAGCCGAAGTTGGATTCGAAAATGCCGCGCTCGCAATAGCGCCCCACATACTCTCTCCGTAGTCCTCCTCTGCTGTTGCCTCGGGGTTCTCCTCACCCTTTTGCTGCTCCTTGGTTGCTGCACCACTCTCCTTAGGTTCACTAAACTTGCTGGTCCCTCCAAGATTGCACTTCTTGGACTCCTTCTCCTTAGCGCGACCGTCCGCGCAATCGCCGCTACCAACCGCTCCACCTTTAGTGCTGACGCTTGCTGCCACTTGCCTCTCCTTAGGCATTGGGACCACAGGGATCTGCCACATCTCGTTGTAGACATCTCTGTCCTCATGAAGGTCCCAAAGAATCCGATTGCCAAGCCTTGCGGTGTAGGTCTTGGCTCCCTTCGAGTTAGTGTCCATGCCGGCCTTTGCCAACCGCCGCACGGAAATCAGGTTCGCAGCAAGGCTGGGCACCCAAAGCACGTTCTTGAGGCCCACCATCTTCCCATCAGCACCCTTGAACATGGCCTTCCCCATGCCTTTTACCTCTGCTCGCTGCCCCAAAGCCGATGTGACATGCTTCACCGATGACGGTTCAAGTTCGGTGAGCAAGTCCGGGCGAGGTCTCATGCTATAGGTAGCGCCACTGTCGATCACCCAATAGTCCAGGGGGTGTAGGGTCACCTTCCCTACAGCTGCTGGCTCCTCAAGGTCTTCATCCTTCTCTGGACCAGCCGGTACTTGCGTCGACACGAAGTAGAATAGGCCCGGGTAGCGATCGCTGCTCGGGTCCTTGTCGTTATCTTCGCTCTTCACATTTGCAGCACCGCCACCGCGACCGCCACGGCCTCCACGGCCTCTTCCTCTCCCTCCTCCTGCTTCTTTACCCTCTTGGCCTTGAGCAGGGGTCCATCCTTCAGGGAGTTTGAAGCAATCGCGCCACATATGTCCGCTCTTGCCGCAATAATGACATTCGCCGTCGAATCGACCGCGACCGCGTCCGTAGCTCTTGTCGTCGCTGCCGTAACTGCCGTTCCCGCGGCCTCCACTGAAGTTGCCGCCACCAGATCTTCCTCCCCCTCGTCCTCAGCCTCTTCCTCGGCCATATCCACGGCCGACGCTAGCTGCCCCAGCGCCATCCGCACTCGCCAACTCACGGCGGCGGAAGTCCTCTTGTAGGATCGCGCGCTTCACGCCTTCAAGCGAGAGACGGGGCAGGTCACGGTTCAAATTGATGATGAGCGAGGACCACCACTCGGTGAGTAAGGCCAGCAACTTGGTCTTCTTCTGGAGCTCACTGTAGTTCAAATCAGCTCCGTCTAGCCGCGTCAACAAGTCGAAGAATCTCTGCACCCCGTCTTCCACGGGTTCATCTTCCTCAATTCGTAGCGTCGCCATTTGCCGTTCCAACACCACAGCTACCGCCGCTGTTGCAGGAGCGTGTACACCCTTGAGAGCAGCCCATGCCTTTTGTCCTTTCTCTGGTTCATGCTGGAAAGGCTTGATGTGACGGATCTGGTTGCTCCCCAACGCTTGCCCAAGTAGAAGATAGCCTTGTGCGCTCTTCCGCACCCACAGGCTCTTCTCCGGGTCGTTCTCGGGACGCTTCTCCGTTCCTTCCATCACCTCCAGCAGGTCATAATGGTCGAACACATTCTCCATTCTGAAGGACCATTCAGCAAAGTTGTCGCCGTTGAACTTGTCAAGCCCGAACGCTCTTGGTTCATCCCTAGAAGGTCCAAGAGTAGGTTGCACGGGCGCCACGGCTGAATCACGGGCTTGGCCTTGTGCTTGGGCATCTCCATTGCCACCAGCACCTCTGCCACCCCTTTCTCCAGGTCCATTCATAGTCGTAGCTGCTCCAAGGGGCTCTGATACCACTTGTTATAGTCACAGTAGGCTTCAATGTGCCTAAAACTAAGGATAGAGTGCACAGTCGGATTTCTGCAAAGCGGCTTTAAACGTTCATAGCGATCTGCTCACAACTCCAAATGACTTCATTCAACTTGGATCTGGAGCTCCCAAACGTCGCCTACAATAAGAATTTTAGATCGCACGATATCATCAAGATTTGACGACACAGCGACGGTTTGAACGAACAGCACTATGGCAGCAACATAGTCTTAGAACGCAACTTAGGAAGAGTTAGCAAGAGTTACGAGTTGGGAATGACTCCCAGCTCCTACAAACCCCAAGAGCCGAGGTACAGTGATGTGGAACAGTGCCACACTGTCCCCAACCACGAAGGATCTCGAAACTACCCTTCACTAGGGTCTACACCAACTGAAATGTTACACTACACGTTGTAATGTAACGAATCTTGATATCTTGAGGTGTACCCTTTTCGCAGACTTCGCGAACACTTGAATGTTGAACCCAGGGCTCGGGTTCTTCGTCACAAACTCATCCTTGAGTTCTTGATGGGTCTGCTGCACACACCTGCGACACGCCAAACGTTCGACAAGCAACAAAATAGAAACCGCGCACGACAAAATAGAAACCGCGCGGGACACACAAAATGACCGCGTTACACGCGACTAGCGATAACTCGCTATTGACTTGACACACACACTCAATATCATGACCCATCATACACACACTATTGTAAGCATGAAATATATATTATCCCATGCCCTCATACCATTCCATGCACACACGCATGCACGCACACGGACAACAAGCCGAGTGCAAACCGTAGGTTGCACCAACAATTCTCCCGCTTTCCATCACCCCGCTCCATTGTCCCGCTTTCCACCACCCCGCCCAATTCTCCCTCTTTCCATCACCCCTCCCCATTCTCCCTCTTTCCATCACCCCGCCCCATTCTCCCGCTTTCCATCACCCCGCCCCATTCTCCCTCTTTCCATCACCCCGCCCCATTCTCCCTCTTTCCATTACCCCGCCCCATTCTCCTGCTTTCCATCACCCCGCCCCATTTTCCCTCTTTCCATCACCTCGCCCCATTCTCCCGCTTTCTATCACCCCGCCCCATTCTCCCGCTTTCCATCACCCCGCTCCATTCTCCCGCTGTCCATCACCCCGCCCGATTCTCCCGCTTTCCATCACCCCTCTCCATTCTCCCTCTTTCCATCTCCCCGCCCCATTCTCCCTCTTTCAATCACCCCGTCCCATTCTCCCTCTTTCCGTCACCCCGCCCCATTCTCCCTGTTCCCATCACCTCGCCCCATTCTCCCTCTTTCCATCACCCCGCCCCATTCTCCCGCTTTCCATCACCCCGCCCCATTCTCCAGCTTTTTATCACCCCGCCCCATTCTCCCGATTTCCATCACCCCGCCCCTTTCTCCCACTTTCCATCACCCCGCCCCATTCTCCCGCTTTCCATCACCCCGCCCCGTTCTCCCGCTTTCCATCACACCGGCCCATTCTCCCCTCTTTCCATCACCCCGCCCCATCCTCCCGCTTTCCATCATCCCGCCCCATTCTCCCGCTTTCCATCACCCCGTCCCGTTCTCTCGCTTTCCATCACCCCGCCCCATTCTCCCGCTTTCCATCACCCCGCCCGCTCCATTCTCCCGCTTTCCATCACCCCGCCCAATTCTCCCTCTTTCCATCACCCCTCCCCATTCTCCCTCTTTCCATCACCCCGCCCCATTCTCCCTCTTTCCATCACCCCGCCCCATTCTCCCGCCTTTCATCACCCCGCCCTATTCTCCCGCTTTCCATCACCCCGCCCAATTCTCCCGCTTTCCATCACCCCGCCCCATTCTCCCGCCTTCCATCACCCAACCCCATTCTCCCTCTTTCAATCACCCCGCCCCATTATCCTGCTTTCCATCACCCCGCCCCGTTCTCCCTCTATCCATCACCCCGCCCAATTCTCCCACTTTCCATCACCCCGTCCCATTCTCCCGTTTTCCATCACCCTGCCCCATTCTCTCGCTTTCCATCACCCTGCCTTATTCTCCCACTTTCCATCACCCCGCCCCATTCTCCCAATTTCCATCAACCCCGCCCCATTCTCCCGCTTTTGATGACCCCGCCCCATTCTCCCGCTTTCCATCACCCCGCCCCATTCTCCCGCTTTCCAACACCCCGCCTCATTCTCCCGCTTTCCATCACCCCGCCCCATTCTCACTCTTTCCATCACCCCTCCCCATTCTCCCTCTTTCCATCACCACGCCCCATTCTCCCGCCTTCCATCACCCCACCCCATTCTCCATCTTTCCATCACCCTACCCAATTCTCCCGCTTTTCATCACCCCGCCCCATTCTCCCGCCTTCCATCACCCCGCCCCATTATCCCGCTTTCCATCACCCCGCCCATTCTCCCTCTATCCATCACCCCGCCCAATTCTCCCACTTTCCACCACCCCGTCCCATTCTCCCGTTTTCCATCACCCTGCCCCATTCTCTCGCTTTCCATCACCCCGCCTTTTTCTCTCGCTTTCCATCACCCCGCCCCATTGTCTCGATTTCCATCACCCCGCCCCATTCTCCCGCCTTCCATGACCCCGCCCCATTCTCCCGCTTTCCATCACCCCGCCCCATTCTCCCGCTTTCCAACACCCCGCCTCATTCTCCCACTTTCCATCACCCCGCCCCATTCTCACTCTTTCCATCACCCCTCCCCATTCTCCCTCTTTCCATCACCCCGCCCCATTCTCCTGCTTTCTATCACCCCACCCCATTCTCCCTGTTCCCATCACCTCGCCCCATTCTCCCTCTTTCCATCACCCCGCCCCATTCTCCCGCTTTCCATCACCCCGCCCCATTCTCCAGCTTTTTATCACCCCGCCCCATTCTCCCGATTTCCATCACCCCGCCCCTTTCTCCCACTTTCCATCACCCCGCCCCATTCTCCCGCTTTCCATCACCCCGCCCCGTTCTCCCGCTTTCCATCACACCGGCCCATTCTCCCCTCTTTCCATCACCCCGCCCCATCCTCCCGCTTTCCATCATCCCGCCCCATTCTCCCGCTTTCCATCACCCCGTCCCGTTCTCTCGCTTTCCATCACCCCGCCCCATTCTCCCGCTTTCCATCACCCCGCCCGCTCCATTCTCCCGCTTTCCATCACCCCGCCCAATTCTCCCTCTTTCCATCACCCCTCCCCATTCTCCCTCTTTCCATCACCCCGCCCCATTCTCCCTCTTTCCATCACCCCGCCCCATTCTCCCGCCTTTCATCACCCCGCCCTATTCTCCCGCTTTCCATCACCCCGCCCAATTCTCCCGCTTTCCATCACCCCGCCCCATTCTCCCGCCTTCCATCACCCAACCCCATTCTCCCTCTTTCAATCACCCCGCCCCATTATCCTGCTTTCCATCACCCCGCCCCGTTCTCCCTCTATCCATCACCCCGCCCAATTCTCCCACTTTCCATCACCCCGTCCCATTCTCCCGTTTTCCATCACCCTGCCCCATTCTCTCGCTTTCCATCACCCTGCCTTATTCTCCCACTTTCCATCACCCCGCCCCATTCTCCCAATTTCCATCACCCCGCCCCATTCTCCCGCTTTTGATGACCCCGCCCCATTCTCCCGCTTTCCATCACCCCGCCCCATTCTCCCGCTTTCCAACACCCCGCCTCATTCTCCCGCTTTCCATCACCCCGCCCCATTCTCACTCTTTCCATCACCCCTCCCCATTCTCCCTCTTTCCATCACCACGCCCCATTCTCCCGCCTTCCATCACCCCACCCCATTCTCCATCTTTCCATCACCCTACCCAATTCTCCCGCTTTCCATCACCCCGCCCCATTCTCCCGCCTTCCATCACCCCGCCCCATTATCCCGCTTTCCATCACCCCGCCCATTCTCCCTCTATCCATCACCCCGCCCAATTCTCCCACTTTCCACCATCCCGTCCCATTCTCCCGTTTTCCATCACCCTGCCCCATTCTCTCGCTTTCCATCACCCCGCCTTTTTCTCTCGCTTTCCATCACCCCGCCCCATTGTCTCGATTTCCATCACCCCGCCCCATTCTCCCGCCTTCCATGACCCCGCCCCATTCTCCCGCTTTCCATCACCCCGCCCCATTCTCCCGCTTTCCAACACCCCGCCTCATTCTCCCACTTTCCATCACCCCGCCCCATTCTCACTCTTTCCATCACCCCTCCCCATTCTCCCTCTTTCCATCACCCCGCCCCATTCTCCTGCTTTCTATCACCCCACCCCATTCTCCCTGTTCCCATCACCCCGCCCCATTCTCCCTCTTTCCATCACCCCGCCCCATTCTCCCGCTTTCCATCACCCCGCCCCATTCCCCTGCTTTCCATCACCCCGCCCCATTCTCCCACTTTCCATCACCCCGCCCCATTCTCCCTCTTTCCATCACCCCGCCCCATTCTCCTGTTTCCATCACCCCGCCCCATTCTCCCTCTTTCCATCACCCCGCCCCATTCTCCCGCTTTCCATCACCCCGCCCCATTCTCCCTCTTCCCATCACCCCGCCCCATTCTCCCACCTTTCATCACCCCGCCCCATTCTCCCGCTTTCCATCACCCCGCCCAATTCTCCCGCTTCCCATCACCCCGCCCCATTCTCCCGCCTTCCATCACCCCGCCCCATTCTCCCTCTTTCCATCAAACCGCCCCATTCTCCCGCTTTCCATCACCCCGCCCCATTCTCCCGCTTTCCATCACCCCGCCCCATTGTCCCGCTTTCCATCACCCCACCCCATTCTCCCGCTTTCCATCACCCCGCCCCATTCTCCTGGTTTCCATCACCCCGGCCCATTTTCCCGCTTTCCATCACCCCGCCCCATTCTCCCGCTTTCCATCACCCCGCCCCATTCTCCAGCTTTCCATCACCCCGACCCGTTCTCTCGCTTTCCATCACCCCGCCCCATTCTCCCGCTTTCCATCACCCCGCCCGCTCCATTCTCCCGCTTTCCATCACCCCGCCCAATTCTCCCTCTTTCCATCACCCCTCCCCATTCTCCCTCTTTCCATCACCCTGCCCCATTCTCCCTCTTTCCATCACCCCGCCCCATTCTCCCGCCTTTCATCACCCCGCCCTATTCTCCCGCTTTCCATCACCCCGCCCAATTCTCCCGCTTTCCATCACCCGCCCCATTCTCCCGCTTTCCATCACCCCGCCCCATTCTCCCTCTTTCCACCACCCCGCCCCATTCTCTCGCTTTCCATCACCCCGCCCTATTCTCCCTCTTTCCATCACCCCGGCCCATTCTCCCTCTTTCCATCACCCCGCCCCATTCTCCCACTTTCCATCACCCCGCGCCATTTTCCCTCTTTCCATCACCCCGCCCCATTCTCCCGCTTTCCATCACCTCGACCAATTCTCCCACTTTCCATCACCCCGCCCCATTCTCCCTCTTTCCATCACCCTGCCCCATTCTCCCTCTATCCATCACCCCACCCAATTCTCCCGCTTTCCATCACCCCGTCCCATTCTCCCGCTTTCCATCACCCCGCCCCATTCTTTTGCGTTCCATCACCCCACCCCATCCTCCCCTCTTTCCATCACCCCGCCCCATTCTCCCGATTTCTATCACCCCGCCCCATTCTCCCTTTTTCCATCACCCCGCCCCATTCTCCCGCTTTCCATCACCCCGCCCCGTTCTCCCTCTTTCCATCACCCCGCCCCATTCTCCCTCTTTCCATCACCCCGCCCCATTCTCCCGCTTTCCATCACCCAGCCCCATTCTCCCTCTTTTCATAGCCCCGCCCCATTCTCCCGCTTTCCATCACCCCGCCCCATTCTCCCTCTTTCCATCACCCCTCCCCGTTCTCCCGCTTTCCATCACCCCGCCCCATTCTCCTCTTTCCATCACCCCGCCACATTCTTCTGCTTTCCATCACCCCGCCCCATTCTCCCTCTTCCCATCACCCCGCCCTATTCTCTCGCTTTCCATCACCCCGCCCCATTCTCCCGCTTTTCATCACCCCGCCCCATTCTCCCGCTTTCCATCACCCCGTCCCATTCTCCCTCTTTCCATCACCCCGCCCCATTCTTCCTCTTTCCATCTCCCCGCCCCATTCTCCCTCTTTCCATCACCCCGCCTCATTCTCCCGCTTTCCATCACCCCGTCCCCATTCTCCCACTTTCCATCACCCCACCCCATTCTCCATCTTTACATCACCCCGCCCCACTCTCCCGCCTTCCATCACCCCGCCCCATTCTCCATCTTTCCATCACCCTGCCCAATTCTCCCGCCTTCCATCACCCCACCCCGTTCTCCCGTCTTCCATCACCCCGCCCCATTCTCCCGCTTTCCATCACCCCGCCCCATTCTCCCACTTTCCATCACCCCGCCCCATTCTCCCTCTTTCCATCACCCCGCCCCATTCTCCCGCTTTCCATCACCCTGCCCCATTTTCCCTCTTTCCATCACCCCGCCCCATTCTCCCGCTTTCCATCACCCCGCCCCATTCTCCCTCTTCCCATCACCCCGCCCTATTCTCCCGCCTTTCATCACCCTGCCCCATTCTCCCGCTTTCCATCACCCCGCCCAATTCTCCCGCTTCCCATCACCCCGCCCCATTCTCCTGCCTTCCATCACCCCGCTCCATTCTCCCTCTTTCCATCACCCCGCCCCATTCTCCCGCTTTCCATCATCCCGCCCCATTCTCCCGCTTTCCATCACCCTGCCCCATTCTCCCTCTATCCATCACCCCACCCAATTCTCCCGCTTTCCATCACCCCGCCCCATTCTCCCGCTTTCCATCACCCCGCCCCATTCTCCCGCTTTCCATCACCCCGTCCCGTTCTCTCGCTTTCCATCACCCCGCCCCATTCTCCCGCTTTCCATCACCCCGCCCGCTCCATTCTCCCGCTTTCCATCACCCCGCCCAATTCTCCCTCTTTCCATCACCCTGCCCCATTCTCCCTCTTTCCATCACCCTGCCCCATTCTCCCGCCTTTCATCACCCCGCCCTATTCTCCCGCTTTACATCACCCCGCCCAATTCTCCCGCTTTCCATCACCCCGCCCCATTCTCCCGCTTTCCATCACCCCGCCCCATTCTCCCTCTTTCCATCACCCCGGCCCATTCATCCTCTTTCCATCACCCCGCCCCATTCTCCCACTTTCCATCACCCTGCGCCATTTTCCCTCTTTCCATCACCCCGCCCCATTCTCCCGCTTTCCATCACCCTGCCCCATTCTCTCGCTTTCCATCATCCCGCTCCATTGTCCCGCTTTCCATCACCCCGCCCAATTCTCCCTCTTTCTATCACCACTCCCTATTCTCCCTTTTTCCATCACCCCGCCCCATTCTCCCACTTTCCATCACCCCGCCCCATTCTCCCACTTTCCATCACCCCGCCCCATTCTCCCTCTTTCCATCACCCCGCCCCATTCTCCCGCTTTCCATCACCTCGACCAATTCTCCCGCTTTCCATCACCCCGCCCCATTCTCCCTCTTTCCATCACCATGCCCCATTCTCCCTCTATCCATCACCACACCCAATTCTCCCGCTTTCCATCACCCCGTCCCATTCTCCCGCTTTCCATCACCCCGCCCCATTCTTTTGCGTTCCATCACCCCACCCCATCCTCCCCTCTTTCCATCACCCCGCCCCATTCTCCCGCTTTCCATCACCCCGCCCCATTCTCCCGCTTTCCATCACCCCACCCCATTCTCCCGTTTTCCATCACCCCGCCCCATTCTCCTGGTTTCCATCACCCCGGCCCATTTTCCCGCTTTCCATCACCCCGCCCCATTCTCCCGCTTTCCATCACCCCGCCCCATTTTCCCTCTTTCCATCACCCCGCCCCATTCTCCTGTTTCCATCACCCCGCCCCATTCTCCCTCTTTCCATCACCCCGCCCCATTCTCCCGCTTTCCATCACCCCGCCCCATTCTCCCTCTTCCCATCACCCCGCCCCATTCTCCTGCCTTCCATCACCCCGCCCCATTCTCCCTCTTTCCATCAAACCGCCCCATTCTCCCGCTTTCCATCACCCCGCCCCATTCTCCCGCTTTCCATCACCCCGCCCCATTGTCCCGCTTTCCATCACCCCACCCCATTCTCCCGCTTTCCATCACCCCGCCCCATTCTCCTGGTTTCCATCACCCCGGCCCATTTTCCCGCTTTCCATCACCGCGCCCCATTCTCCCGCTTTCCATCACCCCGCCCCATTCTCCAGCTTTCCATCACCCCGACCCGTTCTCTCGCTTTCCATCACCCCGCCCCATTCTCCCGCTTTCCATCACTCCGCCCGCTCCATTCTCCCGCTTTCCATCACCCCGCCCAATTCTCCCTCTTTCCATCACCCCTCCCCATTCTCCCTCTTTCCATCACCCTGCCCCATTCTCCCTCTTTCCATCACCCCGCCCCATTCTCCCGCCTTTCATCACCCCGCCCTATTCTCCCGCTTTCCATCACCCCACCCCATCCTCCCCTCTTTCCATCACCCCGCCCCATTCTCCCGATTTCTATCACCCCGCCCCATTCTCCCTTTTTCCATCACCCCCCCCCCATTCTCCCGCTTTCCATCACCCCGCCCCGTTCTCCCTCTTTCCATCACCCCGCCCCATTCTCCCTCTTTCCATCACCCCGCCCCATTCTCCCGCTTTCCATCACCCAGCCCCATTCTCCCTCTTTTCATAGCCCCGCCCCATTCTCCCGCTTTCCATCACCCCACCCCATTCTCCCTCTTTCCATCACCCCTCCCCGTTCTCCCGCTTTCCATCACCCCGCCCCATTCTCCCGCTTTCCATCACCCCGCCCCATTCTCCTGCTTTCCATCACCCCGCCCCATTCTCCCTCTTCCCATCACCCCACCCTATTCTCTCGCTTTCCATCACCCCGCCCCAATCTCCCGCTTTTCATCACCCCGCCCCATTCTCCCGCTTTCCATCACCCCGTCCCATTCTCCCTCTTTCCATCACCCCGCCCCATTCTTCCTCTTTCCATCTCCCCGCCCCATTCTCCCTCTTTCCATCACCCCGCCTCATTCTCCCGCTTTCCATCACCCCGCCCCATTCTCCCACTTTCCATCACCCCACCCCATTCTCCATCTTTACATCACCCCGCCCCACTCTCCCGCCTTCCATCACCCCGCCCCATTCTCCATCTTTCCATCACCCTGCCCAATTCTCCCGCCTTCCATCACCCCACCCCGTTCTCCCGTCTTCCATCACCCCGCCCCATTCTCCCGCTTTCCATCACCCCGCCCCATTCTCCCACTTTCCATCACCCCGCCCCATTCTCCCTCTTTCCATCACCCCGCCCCATTCTCCCGCTTTCCATCACCCCGCCCCATTTTCCCTCTTTCCATCACCCCGCCCCATTCTCCCGCTTTCCATCACCCCGCCCCATTCTCCCTCTTCCCATCACCCCGCCCTATTCTCCCGCCTTTCATCACCCTGCCCCATTCTCCCGCTTTCCATCACCCCGCCCAATTCTCCCGCTTCCCATCACCCCGCCCCATTCTCCTGACTTCCATCACCCCGCTCCATTCTCCCTCTTTCCATCACCCCGCCCCATTCTCCCGCTTTCCATCATCCCGCCCCATTCTCCCGCTTTCCATCACCCTGCCCCATTCTCCCTCTATCCATCACCCCACGCAATTCTCCCGCTTTCCATCACCCCGTCCCATTCTCCCGCTTTCCATCACCCCGCCCCATTCTTTTGCGTTCCATCACCCCACCCCATCCTCCCCTCTTTCCATCATCCCTGCCCCATTCTCCCTTTTTCCATCACCCCGCCCCATTCTCCCGCTTTCCATCACCCCGCCCAATTCTCCCGCTTCCCATCACCCCGCCCCATTCTCCTGCCTTCCATCACCCCGCCCCATTCTCCCTCTTTCCATCACCCCGCCCCATTCTCCCGCTTTCCATCATCCCGCCCCATTCTCCCGCTTTCCATCACCCCGCCCCATTCTCCCGCTTTCCATCACCCCACCCCATTCTCCCGCTTTCCATCACCCCGCCCCATTCTCCCGGTTTCCATCACCCCGGCCCATTTTCCCGCTTTCCATCACCCCGCCCCATTCTCCCGCTTTCCATCACCCCGCCCCATTCTCCCGCTTTCCATCACCCCACCCCATTCTCCCGCTTTCCATCACCCCGCCCCATTCTCCTGGTTTCCATCACCCCGGCCCATTTTCCCGCTTTCCATCACCCCGCCCCATTCTCCCGCTTTCCATCACCCCGCCCCATTCTCCAGCTTTCCATCACCCCGACCCGTTCTCTCGCTTTCCATCACCCCGCCCCATTCTCCCGCTTTCCATCACTCCGCCCGCTCCATTCTCCTGCTTTCCATCACCCCGCCCAATTCTCCCTCTTTCCATCACCCCTCCCCATTCTCCCTCTTTCCATCACCCTGCCCCATTCTCCCTCTTTCCATCACCCCGCCCCATTCTCCCGCCTTTCATCACCCCGCCCTATTCTCCCGCTTTCCATCACCCCGCCCAATTCTCCCGCTTTCCATCACCCGCCCCATTCTCCCGCTTTCCATCACCCCGCCCCATTCTCCCTCTTTCCACCACCCCGCCCCATTCTCTCGCTTTCCATCACCCCGCCCCATTCTTCCTCTTTCCATCACCCCGGCCCATTCTCCCTCTTTCCATCACCCCGCCCCATTCTCCCACTTTCCATCACCCCGCGCCATTTTCCCTCTTTCCATCACCCCGCCCCATTCTCCCGCTTTCCATCACCTCGACCAATTCTCCCGCTTTCCATCACCCCGCCCCATTCTCCCTCTTTCCATCACCCTGCCCCATTCTCCCTCTATCCATCACCCCACCCAATTCTCCCGCTTTCCATCACCCCGTCCCATTCTCTCGCTTTCCATCACCCCGCCCCATTCTTTTGCGTTCCATCACCCCACCCCATCCTCCCCTCTTTCCATCACCCCGCCCCATTCTCCCGATTTCTATCACCCCGCCCCATTCTCCCTTTTTCCATCACCCCCCCCCATTCTCCCGCTTTCCATCACCCCGCCCCGTTCTCCCTCTTTCCATCACCCCGCCCCATTCTCCCTCTTTCCATCACCCCGCCCCATTCTCCCGCTTTCCATCACCCAGCCCCATTCTCCCTCTTTTCATAGCCCTGCCCTATTCTCCCGCTTTCCATCACCCCGCCCCATTCTCCCTCTTTCCATCACCCCTCCCCGTTCTCCCGCTTTCCATCACCCCGCCCCATTCTCCCGCTTTCCATCACCCCGCCCCATTCTCCTGCTTTCCATCACCCCGCCCCATTCTCCCTCTTCCCATCACCCCGCCCTATTCTCTCGCTTTCCATCACCCCGCCCCATTCTCCCGCTTTTCATCACCCCGCCCCATTCTCCCGCTTTCCATCACCCCGTCCCATTCTCCCTCTTTCCATCACCCCGCCCCATTCTTCCTTTTTCCATCTCCCCGCCTCATTCTCCCTCTTTCCATCACCCCGCCTCATTCTCCCGCTTTCCATCACCCCGCCCCATTCTCCCACTTTCCATCACCCCACCCCATTCTCCATCTTTACATCACCCCGCCCCACTCTCCCGCCTTCCATCACCCCGCCCCATTCTCCATCTTTCCATCACCCTGCCCAATTCTCCCGCCTTCCATCACCCCACCCCGTTCTCCTGTCTTCCATCACCCCGCCCCATTCTCCCGCTTTCCATCACCCCGCCCCATTCTCCCACTTTCCATCACCCCGCCCCATTCTCCCTCTTTCCATCACCCCGCCCCATTCTCCCGCTTTCCATCACCCCGCCCCATTTTCCCTCTTTCCATCACCCCGCCCCATTCTCCCGCTTTCCATCACCCCGCCCCATTCTCCCTCTTCCCATCACCCCGCCCTATTCTCCCGCCTTTCATCACCCTGCCCCATTCTCCCGCTTTCCATCACCCCGCCCAATTCTCCCGCTTCCCATCACCCCGCCCCATTCTCCCTCTTTCCATCACCCCGCCCCATTCTCCCGCTTTCCATCATCCCGCCCCATTCTCCCGCTTTCCATCACCCTGCCCCATTCTCCCTCTATCCATCACCCCACCCAATTCTCCCGCTTTCCATCACCCCGTCCCATTCTCCCGCTTTCCATCACCCCGCCCCATTCTTTTGCGTTCCATCACCCCACCCCATCCTCCCCTCTTTCCATCACCCCGCCCCATTCTCCCGATTTCTATCATCCCGCCCCATTCTCCCTTTTTCCATCACCCCGCCCCATTCTCCCGCTTTCCATCACCCCGCCCAATTCTCCCGCTTCCCATCACCCCGCCCCATTCTCCTGCCTTCCATCACCCCGCCCCATTCTCCCTCTTTCCATCACCCCGCCCCATTCTCCCGCTTTCCATCATCCCGCCCCATTCTCCCGCTTTACATCACCTCGACCAATTCTCCCGCTTTCCATCACCCCGCCCCATTCTCCCTCTTTCCATCACCCTGCCCCATTCTCCCTCTATCCATCACCCCACCCAATTCTCCCGCTTTCCATCACCCCGTCCCATTCTCCCGCTTTCCATCACCCCGCCCCATTCTTTTGCGTTCCATCACCCCACCCCATCCTCCCCTCTTTCCATCACCCCGCCCCATTCTCCCGATTTCTATCACCCCGCCCCATTCTCCCTTTTTCCATCACCCCCCCCCATTCTCCCGCTTTCCATCACCCCGCCCCGTTCTCCCTCTTTCCATCACCCCGCCCCATTCTCCCTCTTTCCATCACCCCGCCCCATTCTCCCGCTTTCCATCACCCAGCCCCATTCTCCCTCTTTTCATAGCCCCGCCCCATTCTCCCGCTTTCCATCACCCCGCCCCATTCTCCCTCTTTCCATCACCCCTCCCCGTTCTCCCGCTTTCCATCACCCCGCCCCATTCTCCCGCTTTCCATCACCCCGCCCCATTCTCCTGCTTTCCATCACCCCGCCCCATTCTCCCTCTTCCCATCACCCCGCCCTATTCTCTCGCTTTCCATCACCCCGCCCCATTCACCCGCTTTTCATCACCCCGCCCCATTCTCCCGCTTTCCATCACCCCGTCCCATTCTCCCTCTTTCCATCACCTCGCCCCATTCTTCCTTTTTCCATCTCCCCGCCCCATTCTCCCTCTTTCCATCACCCCGCCTCATTCTCCCGCTTTCCATCACCCCGCCCCATTCTCCCACTTTCCATCACCCCACCCCATTCTCCATCTTTACATCACCCCGCCCCACTCTCCCGCCTTCCATCACCTCGCCCCATTCTCCATCTTTCCATCACCCTGCCCAATTCTCCCGCCTTCCATCACCCCACCCCGTTCTCCCGTCTTCCATCACCCCGCCCCATTCTCCCGCTTTCCATCACCCCGCCCCATTCTCCCACTTTCCATCACCCCGCCCCATTCTCCCTCTTTCCATCACCCCGCCCCATTCTCCCGCTTTCCATCACCCCGCCCCATTTTCCCTCTTTCCATCACCCCGCCCCATTCTCCCGCTTTCCATCACCCCGCCCCATTCTCCCTCTTCCCATCACCCCGCCCTATTCTCCCGCCTTTCATCACCCTGCCCCATTCTCCCGCTTTCCATCACCCCGCCCAATTCTCCCGCTTCCCATCACCCCGCCCCATTCTCCTGCCTTCCATCACCCCGCTCCATTCTCCCTCTTTCCATCACCCCGCCCCATTCTCCCGCTTTCCATCATCCCGCCCCATTCTCCCGCTTTCCATCACCCTGCCCCATTCTCCCTCTATCCATCACCCCACCCAATTCTCCCGCTTTCCATCACCCCGTCCCATTCTCCCGCTTTCCATCACCCCGCCCCATTCTTTTGCGTTCCATCACCCCACCCCATCCTCCCCTCTTTCCATCACCCCGCCCCATTCTCCCGATTTCTATCATCCCGCCCCATTCTCCCTTTTTCCATCACCCCGCCCCATTCTCCCGCTTTCCATCACCCCGCCCAATTCTCCCGCTTCCCATCACCCCGCCCCATTCTCCTGCCTTCCATCACCCCGCCCCATTCTCCCTCTTTCCATCACCCCGCCCCATTCTCCCGCTTTTCATCATCCCGCCCCATTCTCCCGCTTTCCATCACCCCGCCCCATTCTCCCGCTTTCCATCACCCCACCCCATTCTCCCGCTTTCCATCACCCCGCCCCATTCTCTCGGTTTCCATCACCCCGGCCCATTTTCCCGCTTTCCATCACCCCGCCCCATTCTCCCGCTTTCCATCACCCCGCCCCATTCTCCCGCTTTCCATCACCCCGTCCCGTTCTCTCGCTTTCCATCACCCCGCCCCATTCTCCCGCTTTCCATCACCCCGCCCGCTCCATTCTCCCGCTTTCCATCACCCCGCCCAATTCTCCCTCTTTCCATCACCCCTCCCCATTTTTCCTCTTTCCATCACCCTGCCCCATTCTCCCTCTTTCCATCACCCCGCCCCATTCTCCCGCCTTTCATCACCCCGCCCTATTCTCCCGCTTTACATCACACCGCCCAATTCTCCCGCTTTCCATCACCCCGCCCCATTCTCCCGCTTTCCATCACCCCGCCCCATTCTCCCTCTTTCCATCACCCCGGCCCATTCATCCTCTTTCCATCACCCCGCCCCATTCTCCCACTTTCCATCACCCCGCGCCATTTTCCCTCTTTCCATCACCCCGCCCCATTCTCCCGCTTTCCATCACCCTGCCCCATTCTCTCGCTTTCCATCATCCCGCTCCATTGTCCCGCTTTCCATCACCCCGCCCAATTCTCCCTCTTTCCATCACCACTCCCTATTCTCCCTTTTTCCATCACCCCGCCCCATTCTCCCACTTTCCATCACCCCGCCCCATTCTCCCACTTTCCATCACCCCGCCCCATTCTCCCTCTTTCCATCACCCCGCCCCATTCTCCCGCTTTCCATCACCTCGACCAATTCTCCCGCTTTCCATCACCCCGCCCCATTCTCCCTCTTTCCATCACCATGCCCCATTCTCCCTCTATCCATCACCACACCCAATTCTCCCGCTTTCCATCACCCCGTCCCATTCTCCCGCTTTCCATCACCCCGCCCCATTCTTTTGCGTTCCATCACCCCACCCCATCCTCCCCTCTTTCCATCACCCCGCCCCATTCTCCCGCTTTCCATCACCCCGCCCCATTCTCCCGCTTTCCATCACCCCACCCCATTCTCCCGCTTTCCATCACCCCGCCCCATTCTCCCGGTTTCCATCACCCCGGCCCATTTTCCCGCTTTCCATCACCCCGCCCCATTCTCCCGCTTTCCATCACCCCGCCCCATTCTCCCGCTTTCCATCACCCCGTCCCGTTCTCTCGCTTTCCATCACCCCGCCCCATTCTCCCGCTTTCCATCACCCCGCCCGCTCCATTCTCCCGCTTTCCATCACCCCGCCCAATTCTCCCTCTTTCCATCACCCCTCCCCATTTTTCCTCTTTCCATCACCCTGCCCCATTCTCCCTCTTTCCATCATTCCCACCCATTCTCCCGCCTTTCATCACCCCGCCCTATTCTCCCGCTTTACATCACCCCGCCCAATTCTCCCGCTTTCCATCACCCCGCCCCATTCTCCCGCTTTCCATCACCCCCCCCCATTCTCCCTCTTTCCATCACCCCGGCCCATTCATCCTCTTTCCATCACCCCGCCCCATTCTCCCTCTTTCCATCACCCCGCGCCATTTTCCCTCTTTCCATCACCCCGCCCCATTCTCCCGCTTTCCATCACCCTGCCCCATTCTCTCGCTTTCCATCATCCCGCTCCATTGTCCCGCTTTCCATCACCCCGCCCAATTCTCCCTCTTTCCATCACCACTCCCTATTCTCCCTTTTTCCATCACCCCGCCCCATTCTCCCACTTTCCATCACCCCGCCCCATTCTCCCACTTTCCATCACCCCGCCCCATTCTCCCTCTTTCCATCACCCCGCCCCATTCTCCCGCTTTCCATCACCTCGACCAATTCTCCCGCTTTCCATCATCCCGCCCCATTCTCCCTCTTTCCATCACCATGCCCCATTCTCCCTCTATCCATCACCACACCCAATTCTCCCGCTTTCCAACACCCCGTCCCATTCTCCCGCTTTCCATCACCCCGCCCCATTCTTTTGCGTTCCATCACCCCACCCCATCCTCCCCTCTTTCCATCACCCCGCCCCATTCTCCCTCTTTCCATCACCCCGCCCCATTCTCCCGCTTTCCATCACCCCGCCCCATTCTCCCGCTTTCCATCACCCCGCCCCATTCTCCCACTTTCTATCACCCCGCCCCATTCTCCCTCTTTCCATCACCCCGCCCCATTCTCTTGTTTCCATCACCCCGCCCCATTCTCCCTCTTTCCATCACCCAGCCCCATTCTCCCGCTTTCCATCACCCCGCCCCATTCTCCCTCTTCCCATCACCCCGCCCCATTCTCCCGCCTTCCATCACCGCGCCCCATTCTCCCTCTTTCCATCAAACCGCCCCATTCTCCCGCTTTCCATCACCCCGCCCCATTCTCCCGTTTTCCATCACCCCGCCCCATTGTCCCGCTTTCCATCACCCCACCCCATTCTCCCGCTTTCCATCACCCCGCCCCATTCTCCTGGTTTCCATCACCCCGGCCCATTTTCCCGCTTTCCATCACCCCGCCCCATTCTCCCGCTTTCCATCACCCCGCCCCATTCTCCAGCTTTCCATCACCCCGACCCGTTCTCTCGCTTTCCATCACCCTGCCCCATTCTCCCGCATTCCATCACCCCGCCCGCTCCATTCTCCCGCTTTCCATCACCCCGCCCAATTCTCCCTCTTTCCATCACCCCTCCCCATTCTCCCTCTTTCCATCACCCTGCCCCATTCTCCCTCTTTCCATCACCCCGCCCCATTCTCCCGCCTTTCATCACCCCGCCCTATTCTCCCGCTTTCCATCACCCCGCCCAATTCTCCCGCTTTCCATCACCCGCCCCATTCTCCCGCATTCCATCACCCCGCCCCATTCTCCCTCTTTCCACCACCCCGCCCCATTCTCTCGCTTCCCATCACCCCGCCCCATTCTCCCTCTTTCCATCACCCCGGCCCATTCTCCCTCTTTCCATCACCCCGCCCCATTCTCCCACTTTCCATCACCCCGCGCCATTTTCCCTCTTTCCATCACCCCGCCCCATTCTCCCGCTTTCCATCACCTCGACCAATTCTCCCGCTTTCCATCACCCCGCCCCATTCTCCCTCTTTCCATCACCCTGCCCCATTCTCCCTCTATCCATCACCCCACCCAATTCTCCCGCTTTCCATCACCCCGTCCCATTCTCCCGCTTTCCATCACCCCGCCCCATTCTTTTGCGTTCCATCACTCCACCCCATCCTCCCCTCTTTCCATCACCCCGCCCCATTCTCCCGATTTCTATCACCCCGCCCCATTCTCCCTTTTTCCATCACCCCGCCCCATTCTCCCGCTTTCCATCACCCCGCCCCGTTCTCCCCCTTTCCATCACCCCGCCCCATTCTCCCTCTTTCCATCACCCCGCCCCATTCTCCCGCTTTCCATCACCCAGCCCCATTCTCCCTCTTTTCATAGCCCCGCCCCATTCTCCTGCTTTCCATCACCCCGCCCCATTCTCCCTCTTTCCATCACCCCGCCCCGTTCTCCCGCTTTCCATCACCCCGCCCCATTCTCCCGCTTTCCATCACCCCGCTCCATTCTCCTGCTTTCCATCACCCCGCCCCATTCTCCCTCTTCCCATCACCCCGCCCTATTCTCTCGCTTTCCATCACCCCGCCCCATTCTCCCGCTTTTCATCACCCCGCCCCATTCTCCCGCTTTCCATCACCCCGTCCCATTCTCCCTCTTTCCATCACCCCGCCCCATTCTTCCTCTTTCCATCTCCCCGCCCCATTCTCCCTCTTTCCATCACCCCGCCTCATTCTCCCGCTTTCCATCACCCCGCCCCATTCTCCCACTTTCCATCACCCCACCCCATTCTCCATCTTTACATCACCCCGCCCCACTCTCCCGCCTTCCATCACCCCGCCCCATTCTCCATCTTTCCATCACCCTGCCCAATTCTCCCGCCTTCCATCACCCCACCCCGTTCTCCCGTCTTCCATCACCCCGCCCCATTCTCCCGCTTTCCATCACCCCGCCCTATTCTCCCACTTTCCATCACCCCGCCCCATTCTCCCTCTTTCCATCACCCCGCCCCATTCTCCCGCTTTCCATCACCCCGCCCCATTTTCCCTCTTTCCATCACCCCGCCCCATTCTCCCGCTTTCCATCACCCCGCCCCATTCTCCCTCTTCCCATCACCCCGCCCTATTCTCCCGCCTTTCATCACCCTGCCCCATTCTCCCGCTTTCCATCACCCCGCCCAATTCTCCCGCTTCCCATCACCCCGCCCCATTCTCCTGCCTTCCATCACCCCGCTCCATTCTCCCTCTTTCCATCACCCCGCCCCATTCTCCCGCTTTCCATCATCCCGCCCCATTCTCCCGCTTTCCATCACCCTGCCCCATTCTCCCTCTATCCATCACCCCACCCAATCTTCCCGCTTTCCATCACCCCGTCCCATTCTCCCGCTTTCCATCACCCCGCCCCATTCTTTTGCGTTCCATCACCCCACCCCATCCTCCCCTCTTTCCATCACCCCGCCCCATTCTCCCGATTTCTATCATCCCGCCCCATTCTCCCTTTTTCCATCACCCCGCCCCATTCTCCCGCTTTCCATCACCCCGCCCAATTCTCCCGCTTCCCATCACCCCGCCCCATTCTCCTGCCTTCCATCACCCCGCCCCATTCTCCCTCTTTCCATCACCCCGCCCCATTCTCCCGCTTTCCATCATCCCGCCCCATTCTCCCGCTTTCCATCACCCCGCCCCATTCTCCCGCTTTCCATCACCCCACCCCATTCTCCCGCTTTCCATCACCCCGCCCCATTCTCCCGGGTTCCATCACCCCGGCCCATTTTCCCGCTTTCCATCACCCCGCCCCATTCTCCCGCTTTCCATCACCCCGCCCCATTCTCCCGCTTTCCATCACCCCGTCCCGTTCTCTCGCTTTCCATCACCCCGCCCCATTCTCCCGCTTTCCATCATCCCGCCCGCTCCATTCTCCCGCTTTCCATCACCCCGCCCAATTCTCCCTCTTTCCATCACCCCTCCCCATTTTTCCTCTTTCCATCACCCTGCCCCATTCTCCCTCTTTCCATCACCCCGCCCCATTCTCCCGCCTTTCATCACCCCGCCCTATTCTCCCGCTTTACATCACCCCGCCCAATTCTCCCGCTTTCCATCACCCCGCCCCATTCTCCCGCTTTCCATCACCCCGCCCCATTCTCCCTCTTTCCATCACCCCGGCCCATTCATCCTCTTTCCATCACTCCGCCCCATTCTCCCACTTTCCATCACCCCGCGCCATTTTCCCTCTTTCCATCACCCCGCCCCATTCTCCCGCTTTCCATCACCCTGCCCCATTCTCTCGCTTTCCATCATCCCGCTTCATTGTCCCACTTTCCATCACCCCGCCCAATTCTCCCTCTTTCCATCACCACTCCCTATTCTCCCTTTTTCCATCACCCCGCCCCATTCTCCCACTTTCCATCACCCCGCCCCATTCTCCCACTTTCCATCACCCCGCCCCATTCTCCCTCTTTCCATCACCCCGCCCCATTCTCCCGCTTTCCATCACCTCGACCAATTCTCCCGCTTTCCATCACCCCGCCCCATTCTCCCTCTTTCCATCACCATGCCCCATTCTCCCTCTATCCATCACCACACCCAATTCTCCCGCTTTCCATCACCCCGTCCCATTCTCCCGCTTTCCATCACCCCGCCCCACTCTTTTGCGTTCCATCACCCCACCCCATCCTCCCCTCTTTCCATCACCCCGCCCCATTCTCCCGCTTTCCATCACCCCGCCCCATTCTCCCGCTTTCCATCACCCCACCCCATTCTCCCGCTTTCCATCACCCCGCCCCATTCTCCTGGTTTCCATCACCCCGGCCCATTTTCCCGCTTTCCATCACCCCGTCCCATTCTCCCGCTTTCCATCACCCCGCCCCATTCTCCCTCTTTCCATCACCCCGGCCCATTCTCCCTCTTTCCATCACCCCACCTCATTCTCCCACTTTCCATCACCCCGCGCCATTTTCCCTCTTTCCATCACCCCGCCCCATTCTTCCGCTTTCCATCACCCTGCCCCATTTTCTTGCTTTCCATCATCCCGCTCCATTGTCCCGCTTTCCATCACCCCGCCCAATTCTCCCTCTTTCCATCACCACTCCCTATTCTCCCTTTTTCCATCACCCCGCCCCATTCTCCCACTTTCCATCACCCCGCCCCATTCTCCCTCTTTCCATCACCCCGCCCCATTCTCCCGCTTTCCATCACCTCGACCAATTCTCCCGCTTTCCATCACCCCTCCCCATTCTCCCTCTTTCCATCACCCTGCCCCATTCTCCCTCTATCCATCACCCCACCCAATTCTCCCGCTTTCCATCACCCCGTCCCATTCTCCCGCTTTCCATCACCCCGCCCCATTCTTTTGCGTTCCATCACCCCACCCCATCCTCACCTCTTTCCATCACCCCGCCCCATTCTCCCGGTTTCTATCACCCCGCCCCATTCTCCCTCTTTCCATCACCCCGCCCCATTCTCCCGCTTTCCATCACCCCGCCCCGTTCTCCCTCTTTCCATCACCCCGTCCCATTCTCCCTCTTTCCATCACCCCGCCCCATTCTCCCGCTTTCCATCACCCTGCCCCATTCTCCCTCTTTTCATAACCCCGCCCCATAATCCCGCTTTCCATCACCCCGCCCCATTCTCCCTCTTTCCATCACCCCGCCCCGTTCTCCCGCTTTCCATCACCCCGCCCCATTCTCCCGCTTTCCATCACCCCGCCCCATTCTCCTGCTTTCCATCACCCCGCCCCATTCTCCCTCTTCCCATCACCCCGCCCTATTCTCTCGCTTTCCATCACCCCGCCCCATTCTCCCGCTTTTCTTCACCCCGCCCCATTCTCTTGCTTTCCATCACCCCGTCCCATTCTCCCTCTTTCCATCACCCCGCCCCATTCTTCCTCTTTCCATCTCCCCGCCCCATTCTCCCTCTTTCCATCACCCCGCCCCATTCTCCCGCTTTCCATCACCCCGCCCCATTCTCCCACTTTCCATCACCCCGCCCCATTCTCCATCTCTACATCACCCCGCCCCACTCTCCCGCCTTCCATCACCCCGCCCCATTCTCCATCTTTCCATCACCCTGCCCAATTCTCCCGCCTTCCATCACCCCACCCCATTCTCCCATCTTCCATCACCCCGCCCCATTCTCCCTCTTTCCATCACCCCGCCCCATTCTCCCGCTTTCCATCACCCCGTCCCATTCTCCCTCTTTCCATCACCCCGCCCAATTCTCCCTCTTTCCATCACCCCGCCCCATTCTCCAGCTTTCCGTCACCCCGTCCCATTCTCCCTCTTTCCATCACCCTGCCCCATTCTCCCTCTTTCCATCACCCCGCCCCATTCTCCCTCTTTCCATCACCCCGCCCCATTCTCCCGCTTTCCTTCACCCCGCGCCATTTAACCTCTTTCCATCACCCGCCCCATTCTCCCGCTTTCCATCACCCGGCTCCATTGTCCCGCTTTCCATCACCCCGCCCAATTCTCCCTCTTTCCATCACCACTCCCTATTCTCCCTTTTTCCATCACCCCGCCCCATTCTCCCACTTTCCATCACCCCGCCCCATTCTCCCTCTTTCCATCACCCCGCCCCATTCTCCCGCTTTCCATCACCTCGACCAATTCTCCCGCTTTCCATCACCCCGCCCCATTCTCCCTCTTTCCATCACCCTGCCCCATTCTCCCTCTATCCATCACCCCACCCAATTCTCCCGCTTTCCATCACCCCGTCCCATTCTCCCGCTTTCCATCACCCCGCCCCATTCTTTTGCGTTCCATCACCCCACCCCATCCTCCCCTCTTTCCATCACCCCGCCCCATTCTCCCGATTTCTATCACCCCGCCCCATTCTCCCTCTTTCCATCACCCCGCCCCATTCTCCCGCTTTCCATCACCCCGCCCCGTTCTCCCTCTTTCCATCACCCCGCCCCATTCTCCCTCTTTCCATCACCCCGCCCCATTCTCCCGCTTTCCATCACCCTGCCCCATTCTCCCTCTTTTCATAACCCCGCCCCATAATCCCGCTTTCCATCACCCCGCCCCATTCTCCCTCTTTCCATCACCCCGCCCCGTTCTCCCGCTTTCCATCACCCCGCCCCATTCTCCCGCTTTCCATCACCCCGCCCCATTCTCCTGCTTTCCATCACCCCGCCCCATTCTCCCTCTTCCCATCACCCCGCCCTATTCTCTCGCTTTCCATCACCCCGCCCCATTCTCCCGCTTTTCATCACCCCGCCCCATTCTCTTGCTTTCCATCACCCCGTCCCATTCTCCCTCTTTCCATCACCCCGCCCCATTCTTCCTCTTTCCATCTCCCCGCCCCATTCTCCCTCTTTCCATCACCCCGCCCCATTCTCCCGCTTTCCATCACCCCGCCCCATTCTCCCACTTTCCATCACCCCGCCCCATTCTCCATCTCTACATCACCCCGCCCCACTCTCCCGCCTTCCATCACCCCGCCCCATTCTCCATCTTTCCATCACCCTGCCCAATTCTCCCGCCTTCCATCACCCCACCCCATTCTCCCATCTTCCATCACCCCGCCCCATTCTCCCTCTTTCCATCACCCCGCCCCATTCTCCCGCTTTCCATCACCCCGTCCCATTCTCCCTCTTTCCATCACCCCGCCCAATTCTCCCTCTTTCCATCACCCCGCCCCATTCTCCAGCTTTCCGTCACCCCGCCCCATTCTCCCTCTTTCCATCACCCTGCCCCATTCTCCCTCTTTCCATCACCCCGCCCCATTCTCCCTCTTTCCATCACCCCGCCCCATTCTCCCGCTTTCCTTCACCCCGCGCCATTTAACCTCTTTCCATCACCCGCCCCATTCTCCCGCTTTCCATCACCCGGCTCCATTGTCCCGCTTTCCATCACCCCGCCCAATTCTCCCTCTTTCTATCACCCCTTCCCATTCTCCCTCTTTCCATCACCACGCCCCATTCTCCTGCTTTCCATCACCCCGCCCCATTCTCCCTCTTTCCATCACCCCGCCCCATTCTCCCTCTTTCCATTACCCCGCCCCATTCTCCTGCTTTCCATCACCCCGCCCCATTCTCCCTCTTTCTATCACCCCGCCCCATTCTCCAGCTTTCCATCACCTCGCTCCATTCTCCCGCTTTCCATCACCGCGCCCAATTCTCCCGCTTTCCATCACCCCTCTCCATTCTCCCTCTTTCCATCTCCCCGCCCCATTCTCCTTCTTTCCATCAACCCGTCCCATTCTCCCTCTTTCCGTCACCCCACCCCATTCTCCCTGTTTCCATCACCTCGCCCCATTCTCCCTCTTTCCATCACCCCGCCCCATTCTTCCTGTTTCCATCACCTCGCCCCATTCTCTCGCTTTCCATCACCCCTCCCTATTCTCCCTCTTTCCATCACCCCGCCCAATTCTCCCGCTTTCCATCACCCCGCCCCATTCTCCTTCTTTCCATCACCCCGCCCCATTCTCCAGCTTTTTATCACCCCGCCCCATTCTCCTGATTTCCATCACCCCAGCCCATTCTCCCGCTTTCCATCAACCCGACCCATTCTCCCGCTTTCCATCACCCCACCCCGTTCTCCCGCTTTCCATCACACCGCCCCATTCTCCCTCTTTCCATCACCCCGCCCCATTCTCCTGCTTTCCATCACCGCGCCCCATTCTCCCGCTTTCCATCACCCCGCCCCGTTCTCCCGCTTTCCATCACCCCGCCTCATTCTCCCTCTTTCCATCAACCCGCCCCATTCTCCCTATTTCCATCACCCCGCTCCATTCTCCCGCTTTCCATCAACCCGCCCGCTCCATTCTCCCGCTTTCCATCACCCCGCCCAATTCTCCCTCTTTCCATCACCCCTCTCCATTCTCCCTCTTTCCATCACCTCGCCCCATTCTCCCGCTTTCCATTACCCCGCCCCATTCTCCCTCTTTCCATCACCCGCCCCATTCTCCCGTCTTTCATCACCCCGCCCCATTCTCCCTCTTTCCATCACCCCGCCCAATTCTCCCACTTTCCATCACCCCGCCCCATTCTCCCACCTTTCATCACCCCGCCCCATTCTCCCTCTTTCCATCAACCTGCCCCATTCTCCCTCTTTCCATCACCCCGCCTTATTCTCCCTCTTTCCATCACCCCGCCCCATTCTCCCGATTTCCATCACCTCGCCCCATTCTCCCGCTTTCCATCACCCCGCCCCGTTCTCCCGCTTTCTGTCACCCCGCCTCATTCTCCCTCTTTCCATCAACCCGCCCCATTCTCCCTCTTTCCATCACCCCGCTCCATTCTCCCGCTTTCCATCACCCCGTCCGCACCATTCTCCCGCTTTCCATCACCCCGCCCAATTCTCCCTCTTTCCATCACCCCTCCCCATTCTCCCTCTTTCCATCACCCCGCCCCATTCTCCCGCTTTCCATCACCCCGCCCCATTCTCCCGCTTTCCATCACCCGCCCTATTCTCCCATCTTTCATCACCCCGCCTTATTCTCCGTCTTTCCATCACCCCGCCCAATTCTCTCGCTTTCCATCACCCCGCCCAATTCTCCCGCTTTCCATCACCCCGCCCCATTCTCCCTCTTTCCATCAACCCGCCCCATTCCCCCTCTTTCCATCACCCCGCCTTATTCTCCCTCTTTCCATCATCCCGCTCCATTCTCCCGATTTCCAGCACCCCGCCCCATTCTCCCGCTTTCCATCACCCCGCCCCGTTCTCCCTCTATCCATCACCCCGCCCAAATCTCCCACTTTCCATCACCCCGTCCCATTCTCCTGTTTTCCATCACCCCGCCCCATTCTCTCGCTTTCTATCACCCCGCCTTATTCTCCCGCTTTCCATCACCCCGCACCATTCTCTCGCTTTCCATCACCCCGCCCCATTCTCACTATCTCCATCACCCCTCCCCATTCTCCCTCTTTCCATCACCCCGCCCCATTCTCATGCTTTCTATCACCCTGCCCCATTCTCCCTCTTTCCATCACCCCGCCCCATTCTCCCGCCTTCCATCACCCCGCCCCATTCTCCTTCCTTCCATCACCCTGGCCAATTCTCCCGCTTTCCATCACCGCGCCCCATTCTCCCGCCTTCCATCACCCCGCCCCATTCTCCCTCTTTCCATCACCCCGCCCCATTCTCCCGCTTTCCATCACCCCGCCCCATTCTCCAGCCCCATTCTCCCTCTTTCCATCACCCTGCCCCATTCTCTCGCTTTCCATCACCCCGCCCCATTTTCCCTCTTTCCATCACCCCGCCCCATTCTCCCGCTTTCCATCACCCCGCCCCATTCTCCCGCTTTCCATCACCCCGCTCCATTCTCCCGCTTTCCATCACCCCGCCCAATTCTCCCTCTTTCCATCACCCCGCCCCATTCTCCCGCTTTCCATCACCCCGCCCCATTCTCCCTCTATCCATCACCCCGCCCAATTCTCCCACTTTCCATCACCCCGTCCCATTCTCCTGTTTTCCATCACCCCGCCCCATTCTCTCGCTTTCTATCACCCCGCCTTATTCTCCCGCTTTCCATCACCCCGCACCATTCTCCCGCTTTCCATCACCCCGCCCCATTCTCACTATCTCCATCACCCCTCCCCATTCTCCCTCTTTCCATCACCCCGCCCCATTCTCATGCTTTCTATCACCCCGCCCCATTCTCCCTCTTTCCATCAACCCGCCCCATTCCCTCTCTTTCCATCACCCCGCCTTATTCTCCCTCTTTCCATCATCCCGCTCCATTCTCCCGATTTCCAGCACCCCGCCCCATTCTCCCGCTTTCCATCACCCCGCCCCGTTCTCCCTCTATCCATCATCCCGCCCAAATCTCCCACTTTCCATCACCCCGTCCCATTCTCCTGTTTTCCATCACCCCGCCCCATTCTCTCGCTTTCTATCACCCCGCCTTATTCTCCCGCTTTCCATCACCCCGCACCATTCTCTCGCTTTCCATCACCCCGCCCCATTCTCACTATCTCCATCTCCCCTCCCCATTCTCCCTCTTTCCATCACCCCGCCCCATTCTCATGCTTTCTATCGACCCGCCCCATTCTCCCTCTTTCCATCACCCCGCCCCATTCTCCCGCCTTCCATCACCCCGCCCCATTCTCCTTCCTTCCATCACCCTGGCCAATTCTCCCGCTTTCCATCACTGCGCCCCATTCTCCCGCCTTCCATCACCCCGCCCCATTCTCCCTCTTTCCATCACCCCGCACCATTCTCCCGCTTTCCATCACCCCGCCCCATTCTCCAGCCCCATTCTCCCTCTTTCCATCACCCCGCCCCATTCTCTCGCTTTCCATCACCCCGCCCCATTTTCCCTCTTTCCATCACCCCGCCCCATTCTCCCGCTTTCCATCAACCCGCCCCATTCTCCCGCTTTCCATCACCCCGCTCCATTCTCCCGCTTTCCATCACCCCACCCAATTCTCCCTCTTTCCATCACCCCACCCCATTCTCCCGATTTCCATCACCCCGCCCCATTCTCCCGCTTTCCATCACCCCGCCCCATTCTCCCTCTATCCATCACCCCGCCCAATTCTCCCACTTTCCATCACCCCGTCCCATTCTCCTGTTTTCCATCACCCCGCCCCATTCTCTCGCTTTCTATCACCCCGCCTTATTCTCCCGCTTTCCATCAGCCCGCACCATTCTCCCGCTTTCCATCACCCCGCCCCATTCTCACTATCTCCATCACCCTCCCCCATTCTCCCTCTTTCCATCACCCCGCCCCATTCTCATGCTTTCTATCACCCCGCCCCATTCTCACTCTTTCCATCACCCCGCCCCATTCTCCCACCTTCCATCACCCCACCCCATTCTCCTTCCTTCCATCACCCTGGCCAATTCTCCCGCTTTCCATCACCGCGCCCCATTCTCCCGCCTTCCATCACCCCGCCCCATTCTCCCTCTTTCCATCACCCCGCCCCATTCTCCCGCTTTCCATCACCCCGCCCCATTCTCCAGCCCCATTCTCCCTCATTCCATCACCCCGCCCCATTCTCTCGCTTTCCATCACCCCGCCCCATTTTCCCTCTTTCCATCACCCCGCCCCATTCTCCCGCTTTCCATCACCCCGCCCCATTCTCCCGCTTTCCATCACCCCGCTCCATTCTCCCGCTTTCCATCACCCCGCCCAATTCTCCCTCTTTCCATCACCCCACCCCATTCTCCCGATTTCCATCACCCCGCCCCATTCTCCCGCTTTCCATCACCCTGCCCCATTCTCCCTCTATCCATCACCCCGCCCAATTCTCCCACTTTCCATCACCCCGTCCCATTCTCCTGTTTTCCATCACCCCGCCCCATTCTCTCTATCTCCATCACCCCTCCCCATTCTCCCTCTTTCCATCACCCCGCCCCATTCTCATGCTTTCTATCACCCCACCCCATTCTCCCTCTTTCCATCACCCCGCCCCATTCTCCCACCTTCCATCACCCCGCCTAATTCTCCTTCCTTCCATCACCCTTGCCAATTCTCCCGCTTTCCATCACCGCGCCCCATTGTCCCGCCTTCCATCACCCCGCACCATTCTCCCTCTTTCCATCACCCCGCCCCATTCTCCCGCTTTCCATCACCTCGCCCCATTCTCCCGCCCCATTCTCCCTCTTTCCATCACCCCGCCCCATTCTCTCGCTTTCCATCACCCCGCCCCATTTTCCCTCTTTCCATCACCCCGCCCCATTCTCCCGCTTTCCATCACCCCGCCCCATTCTCCCGCTTTCCATCAGCCCGCTCCATTCTCCCGCTTTCCATCACCCCGCCCAATTCTCCCTCTTTCCATCACCCCACCCCATTCTCCCTCTTTCCATCACCCCGCCCCATTCTCCCGCTTTCCATCACCCTGCCCCATTCTCCCTCTTTCCATCACCCCGCCCTATCCTCTCTCTTTCCATCACCCCGCACCATTTTCCCGCTTTCCATCACCCCGCACCATTCTCCCTCTTTCCATCACCCCACCCCATTCTACTGCTTTCCATGACCCCGTCCAATTCTCCCGCTTTCCATCACCCCGCCCAATTTTCCCTCTTTCCATCATCCCGCCCCATTCTCCCTCTTTCCATCACCCCGCCCCATTCTCCCCCAATCCATCACCCCGCCCCATTTTCTCTCTTTTCATCACCCCGTCCCATTCTTCCGCTTTCCATCACCCCGCCCCATTCTCCCGCCTTCCATCACCCCGCCCCATTCTCCATCTTTCCATCACCCTGCCCAATTCTCCCGCTTTCCATCACCCCGCCCCATCCTCCCGCCTTCCATCACCCCGCCCCATTCTCCCTCCTTCCGTCACCCCGCCCCATTCTCCCGCTTTCCATCACCTCGCCCCATTCTCCCGCTTTCCATCAACCCGCCCCATTCTCCCTCTTTCCATCACCCCGCCCCATTCTCCCGCTTTCCATCACCACGCCCCATTCTCCCGCTTTCCATCACCCCGCCCCATTCTCCCGCTTTCCATCACCCCGCCCCATTCTCCCTCTTTCCATCACCCCGCCCCATTCTCCCCCTTTCCATCACCCCGCCCCATTCTCCCTCTTTCCATCACCCTTCCCCATTCTCCCTCTATCGATCACCCCACCCAATTCTCCCGCTTTCCATCACCCCGTCCCATTCTCCCGCTTTCCATCACCTCGCCCCATTCTTTTGCGTTCCATCACCCCACCCCATCCTCCCCTCTTTCCATCATCCCGCCCCATTCTCCCAATTTCTATCACCCCGCCCCATTCTCCCTCTTTCCATCACCCCGCCCCATTCTCCCGCTTTCCATCACCCCGCCCCATTCTAGCTCTTTCAATCACCCCGCCCCATTCTCTCGCTTTCCATCACCCCGCCCCGTTCTCCCGCTTTCCATCACCCCGCCCCATTTTCCCGCCTTCCATCACCCCGCCCCATTCTCCTGCTTTCCATCACCCCGCCCCATTCTCCCTCATTCCATCACCCCGCCCCATTCTCTCGCTTTCCATCACCCCGCCCCATTCTCCCGCTTCTCATCACCCTGCCCCATTCTCCCGCTTTCCATCACCCCGTCCCATTCTCCCTCTTTCCATCACCCCGCTCCATTCTCCCGCTTTCCATCACCCCTCCCTATTCTCCCTCTTTCCATCACCCCGCCCTATTCTCCCGCTTTCCATCACCCCGCCCCATTCTCCCGCTTTCCATCACCCCGCCCCATTCTCCCGCTTTCCATCACCCCGCCCCATTCTCCCGCTTTCCATCACCCCGCCCCATTCTCCCTCTTTCCATCACACCGCCCCGTTCTCCCGCTTTCCATCACCCCGCTCCGTTCTCCCGCTTTCCATCACCCTGACCCATTCTCCCCCTTTCCATCAACCCGCCACATTCTCCCGCTTTCCATCACCGCGCCCCATTCTCCCTCTTTCCATCACCCCGCCCCGTTCTCCCGCTTACCATCACCCCGCCCCATTCTCCCGCTTTCCATCACCCCGCCCCATTCTCCCTCTTTCCATCACACCGCCCCATTCTCCCTGTTTCCATCACCCCGCCCCATTCTCCCGATTTCCATCACCCCTCCCCATTCTCCCGCTTTCCATCACCCCGCCCCATTCTCCCGCTTTCCATCACTCCACCCCATTCTCCCGCTTTCCATCACCCCGCCCCATTCTCCCGCTTTCCATCACCCTGCCCCATTCTCCCGCTTCCCATCACCCGGGCCCATTCTCCCGCTTTCCATCACCCCGCCCCATTCTCCCGCTTTCCATCACCCCGACCCATTCTCCCTCCTTCCATCACCCCGCCTCATTCTCCCGCTTTCCATCACCCCGCCCCATTCTCCCGCTTTCCATAACCCCGCCGCATTCTCCCACTTTCCATCACCCAGCCACATTCTCCCACTTTCCATCAGCCCGCCCCATTCTCCCTCCTTCCTTTGCCCTGCCCCATTCTCCCTCCTTCCATCATCCCGCCCCATTCTCCCTCCTTCCATCACCTCGCCCCATTTTCCCGCTTTCTATTTGCCCGCCCCATTCCACCGCTTTCCATCACCCCGCCCCATTCTCCAGCTTTCCATAACCCGCCCCATTCTCCCGCTTTCCATCACCCCGCCCCATTCTCCCGCTTTCCATCACCCCACCCCATTCTCCCGCTTTCCATCACCCCACCCCATATTCCCGCTTTCCATCCCTGCCCCATTCTCCAGCTTTCCATCAGCCGCCCCATTCTCCCGCTTTCCATCACCCCGCCTTATTCTCCAGCTCTCCATCACCCCGCACCATTCGCCCGCTTTCCATCACCCCTCCCCATTCTCCTGCTTTCCATCACCCCGCCCCATTCTCCCTCCTTCCATGACCCCGCCCCATTCTCCCTCCATCCATCACCCCGCCCTATTCTCCCAATTTCCATCACCCCACCCCATTCTCCCGCTTTCCATCACCCCGCCTTATTCTCCCGCTTTCCATCACCTCGCCCCATTCTCCCGCTTTCCATCACCCCGCCCCATTCTCCGCTTTCCATCACACGCCCATTCTCCCGCTTTCCATCACCCCGCACCATTCTCCCGCTTTTCATTACCCCGCCCCATTTTCCTGCTTCCCATCATCTCGCCCCATTCTCCCGCTTTCCATCACCCTGCCCCATTCTCCCTCCTTCCATCACCCCACCCCATTCTCCCGCTTTCCATCACCTCGCCCCATTCTCTCGCTTTCCATCACCCCGCCCCATTCTCCCGCTTTCCATCACCCCGCCCCATTCTCCTGCTTTCCATCACCCGCCCCATTCTCCCGCTTTCCATCACCCCACCCCAGTCTCCCGCTTTCCATCACCCCGCCCTATTCTCCCCCTTTCCATCACCCCGCCCCAATCTCCCGCTTTCCATCACCCCACCCCATTCTCCCGCTTTCCATCACCCCGCCCCATTCTCCCGCTTTCCTTCACCCCTCCCCATTCTCCCACTTTCCATCACCCCGCCCCATTCTCCCGCTTTCAATCACCCCACCCCATTCTCCCGCTTTCCATCACTCCGCCCCATTCTCCCTCCTTCCATCACCCCGCCCCATTCTCCCGCTTTCCATCACCCCGACCCATTCTCCCACTTTCCATCACCCCGCCCCATTCTCCTGCTTTCCATCATCCAGCCCCATTCCCCCGCTTTCCATCACCCCGCCCTATTCTCCCTCTTTCCATCACCCCGCCCCATTCTCCCTCCTTCCATCACCCCGCCCCATTCTACCGCTTTCCATCACCCCGCCACATTCTTCCACTTTCCATCACCCCGCCCCATTCTCCCTCCTTCCATCACCCCGCCCCATTCCCCCGCTTTCCATCACCCCGCCCCATTCTCCCGCATTCCATCACCCCGCCCCATTCTCCCTCCTTCCATCACCCCGCCCCATTCTCCCGCTTTCCATCACCCCACCCCATTCTTCCGCATTCCATCACCCCGCCCCATTCTCCCGGTTTCCATCACCCCGCCCCCTTCTCCCTCCTTCCATCATCCTGCCCCATTCTCCCTCCTTCCATCACCCCGCCCCTTTCTCCCGCTTTCCATCAGCCCGCCCCATTCTCCCGCTTTCCATCACCCCGCCCCATTCTCCCGCGTTCCATCTCCCCGCCCCATTCTCCCGGTCTCCATAACCCCGCCCCCTTCTCCCTCCTTCCATCACCCCGCCCCATTCTCCCTCCTTCCATCATCCCGCCCCTTTCTCCCGCTTTCCATCAGCCCGCCCCATTCTCCCGCTTTCCATCACCCAGCCCCATTCTCCCGCTCTCCATCACCCCGCCCCGTTCTCCCGCTTTCCATAACCCCGCCCCATTCTCACGCTTTCCATCACCCCGCCCCATTCACCCGCTTTCCATCACCCCGCCCCATTCCGCTCCATTCCGTCACCCCGCCCCATTCTCCCGCTTTCCATCACCTCGCCCCATTCTCACGCTCTCCATCACCCCGCCCCATTCACCCGCTTTCCATCACCCCGCCCCATTCTCACGCTTTCCATCACCCCACCCCACTCCCGCTTTCCATCACCCCGCCCCATTCTCCCGCTTTCCATCACCCCGCCCCATTCTCCCGCTTTCCATCACCTTGCCCCATTCTCACGCTTTCCATCACCCCGCCCCATTCTCCCGCTTTCTATCACCCCGCCCCATTCTCCTCCCTTCCATCACCCCGCCTCATTCTCCCTCCTTCCATCACCCCGCCCCGTTCTCCCGCTTTCCATCACCCCGCCCCATTCTCCCGCTTCCCATCAACCCGCCCCATTCTCCCACTTTCCATCACCCCGCCCCATTCTCCCGCATTCCATCACCCTGCCCCATTCTCCCGCTTTCCATAACCCCGCCCCATTCTCCTGCTTTCCATCACCCCGCCATATTCTCCCACTTTCCATCACCCCTCCCCATTCTCCCTCCTTCCATCACACGCCCCATTCTCCCTCCTTCCATCACCCACCCCATTCTCCCTCCTTCCATCACCCCGCCCCATTCTCCCGCTTTCCATCACCACGCCTCATTCTCCCGCTTTCCATCACCCCGCCCCATACTCCCGCTTTCCATCACCCCGCCCCATTCTCCCGCTTTCCATCACCCCGCCCCATTCTCCCGCTTTCCATCACCCCGCCCCAATCTCCCTCCTTCCATCACCCGCCCCATTCTCCCTCCTTCCATCACCCACCCCATTCTCCCTCCTTCCATCACCCCGCCCCATTCTCCCGCTTTCCATCACCACGCCTCATTCTCCCGCTTTCCATCACCCCGCCCCATACTCCCGCTTTCCATCACCCCGCCCCATTCTCCCGCATTCCATCACCCCGCCCCATTCTCCCTCCTTCCATCACCCCGCCCCATTCTCCCGCTTTCCATCACCCCACCCCATTCTTCCGCATTCCATCACCCCGCCCCATTCTCCCGCTTTCCATCACCTCGCCCCATTCTCCCGCATTCCATCATCCTGCCCCATTCTCCCTCCTTCCATCACCCCGCCCCTTTCTCCCGCTTTCCATCAGCCCGCCCCATTCTCCCGCTTTCCATCACCCCGCCCCATTCTCCCGCGTTCCATCTCCCCGCCCCATTCTCCCGGTCTCCATAACCCCGCCCCCTTCTCCCTCCTTCCATCACCCCGCCCCATTCTCCCTCCTTCCATCATCCCGCCCCTTTCTCCCGCTTTCCATCAGCCCGCCCCATTCTCCCGCTTTCCATCACCCAGCCCCATTCTCCCGCTCTCCATCACCCCGCCCCGTTCTCCCGCTTTCCATAACCCCGCCCCATTCTCACGCTTTCCATCACCCCGCCCCATTCACCCGCTTTCCATCACCCCGCCCCATTCCGCTCCTTTCCTTCACCCCGCCCCATTCTCCCGCTTTCCATCACCTCGGCCCATTCTCACGCTCTCCATCACCCCGCCCCATTCACCCGCTTTCCATCACCCCGCCCCATTCTCACGCTTTCCATCACCCCACCCCACTCCCGCTTTCCATCACCCCGCCCCATTCTCCCGCTTTCCATCACCCCGCCCCATTCTCCCGCTTTCCATCACCTTGCCCCATTCTCACGCTTTCCATCACCCCGCCCCATTCTCCCGCTTTCCATCACCCCGCCCCATTCTCCCTCCTTCCATCACCCCGCCTCATTCTCCCTCCTTCCATCACCCCGCCCCGTTCTCCCGCTTTCCATCACCCCGCCCCATTCTCCCGCTTCCCATCACCCCGCCCCATTCTCCCGCTTTCCATCACCCCGCCCCATTCTCCCGCATTCCATCACCCTGCCCCATTCTCCCGCTTTCCATAACCCCGCCCCATTCTCCTGCTTTCCATCACCCCGCCATATTCTACCACTTTCCATCACCCCGCCCCATTCTCCCTCCTTCCATCACCCGCCCCATTCTCCCTCCTTCCATCACCCACCCCATTCTCCCTCCTTCCATCACCCCGCCCCATTCTCCCGCTTTCCATCACCACGCCTCATTCTCCCGCTTTCGATCACCCCGCCCCATACTCCCGCTTTCCATCACTCCGCCCCATTCTCCCGCTTTCCATCACCCCGCCCCATTCTCCCGCTTTCCATCACCCCGCCCCAATCTCCCTCCTTCCATCACCCCGCCCCATTCTCCCGCTTTCCATGAGCCCGCCCCATTCTCCCTCCTTCCATCACCTCGGGCCATTCTCCTTCCTTCCATCACCCTGCCCCATTCTCCCGCTTTCCATCACCCCGCCCCATTTTCCCGTTTTCCATCACCCCGCCCCATTCTCCTGCTTTCCATCACCCCGCCCGATTCTCCTGCTTTCCACCACCCCGCCCCATTCTCCCGCTTTCCATCACCCCGCCCCATTCTCCCGCTTTCCATCACCCCACCCCATTCTCCCACCTTCTATCACCCCGCCCCATTCTCCCTCCTTCCATCACCTCGCCCCATTCTCCCGCTTTCCATTACTCCGCCCCATTCTCCTGCTTTCCATCACCCCGCCCCATTCTCCCGCTTTCCATCACCCCGCCCCATTCCCCCGCTTTCCATCACCCCGCCCCATTCTCCCGCTTTTCATCACCCCGCCCCGTTCTCCCGCTTTCCATCACCCCGCCCCATTCTCCCGCTTTCCATCACCCCGCCCCATTCTCCCTCTTTCCATCACCCCGCCCCATTCTCCCTCCTTCCATCACCCCGCCCCATTCTCCGCTTCCCATAACCCCAGCCCCATCTCCCGCTTTCCATCACCCCGCCACTTTCTCCCACTTCATCCCGCCCCATTCTCCCTCCTTCCATCACCCCGCCCCTTTCTCCCTCCTTCCATCACCCCGCCCCATTCTCCCGCTTTCCATCAGCCCGCCCCATTCTCCCGCTTTCCATCAGCACGCCCCATTCTCCCGCTTTCCATCACCCCGCCCCATTCTCCCGCTTTCCATCAACCTGCCCCCTTCTCCCGCTTTCCATCACCCCGCCCCATTCTCCCGCTTTCCATCACCCCACCCCATTTTCCCATTTTCCATCACCTCGCCCCATTCTCCTTCCTTCCATCACCCCGCCCCAATCTCCCTCCTTCCATCACCCCATCCCATTCTCCCGCTTTCCATCTCCCCGCCCCATTCTTCCGCTTCCCATCATCCCGCCCCATTCCCCCGCTTTCTATCACCCCTCCTTCCATCACCCTGCCCCATTCTCCCGCTTTCCATCACCCTGAAATTTTGCACACGCTAGGCCCTTTTTCTTGCAATTTTGCACATGCTAGGCCCTTGTTCCTGAAATTTTGCACACGCTAGGCCCTTGTTCTTGCAAGTTTGCACAGACTAGGCCCTTGTTCTTGCAATTTTGCACACGCTAGGTCCTTGTTCTTGCTATTTTGCACACGCTAGGCCCTTGTTCTTGCTATTTTGCACACGCTAGACCCTTGTTCTTGCTATTTTGCACACGCTAGGCCCTTGTTCTTGCAATTTTGCACACGCTAGGCCCTTGTTCTTGCTATTTTGCACACGCTAGGCCCTTGTTCTTGCTATCTTGCACACGCTAGCCCCTTGTTCTTGCAATTTTGCACACGCTAGGCCCCTGTTCTTGCTATTTTGCACACGCTAGCCCCTTGTTCTTGCAATTTTGCACACACTAGGCCCTTGTTCCTGAAATTTTGCACACGCTAGGCCCTTGTTCTTGCAATTTTGCACATGCTAGGCCCTTGTTCTTGCAATTTTGCACACGCTAGGCCCTTGTTCTTGCAATTTTGCACACGCTAGGCCCTTGTTCTTGCTATTGTGCACATGCTAGGCCCTTGTTCTTGCAATTTTGCAAATGCTAGGCCCTTGTTCTTGCAATTTTGCACACGCTAGGCCCTTGTTCTTGCTATTTTGCACACGCTAGACCCTTGTTTTTGCAATTTTGCACACGCTAGGCCCTTGTTCTTGCTATTTTGCACACGCTAGACCCTTTTTCTTGCAATTTTGCACACGCTAGGCCCTTGTTCTTGCTATTTTGCACACGCTAGACCCTTGCTCTTGCAATTTTGCACACGCTAGGCCCTTGTTCTTGCAATCTTGCACAAGCTAGGCCCTTGTTCATGAAATTTTGCACACAATAGACCCTTGATCTTGCAATTTTGCACACGCTAGGCCCTTGTTCTTGCTATTTTGCACACAATAGACCCTTGTTCTTGCAATTTTGCACACGCTAGACCCTTGTTCTTGCAATATTGCACACGCTATGCCCTTGTTCTTGCTATTTTGCACACGCTAGACCCTTGTTCTTGCAATTTTGCATACGCTAGGCCCTTGTTCTTGCAATTTTGCACACGCTAGGCCCTTGTTCTTGCTATTTTGCACACGCTAGACCCTTATTCTTGCTATTTTGCACACGCTAGGCCCGTGTTCTTGCTATTTTGCACACGCTAGCCCCTTTTTCTTGCTATTTCGCACACACTAGGCCCTTGTTCTTGCAATTTTGCACACGCTAGGCCCTTGTTCCTGAAATTTTGCACACGCTAGGCCCTTGTTCTTGCAATTTTGCAAATGCTAGGCCCTGTTCTTGCAATTTTGCACACGCTAGGCCATTGTTCTTGCTATTTTGCATAAGCTAGACCCTTGTTCTTGCAATTTTGCACACGCTAGGCCCTTGTTCTTGCTATTTTGCACACGCTAGACCCTTGTTGTTGCAATTTTGCACACGCTAGACCCTTGTTCTTGCAATTTTGCACACGCTAGACCCTTGTTCTTGCAATTTTGCACACGCTAGGCCCTTGTTCTTGCAATTTTGCACACGCTAGGCCCTTGTTCTTGCAATTTTGCACACGCTAGGCCCGTGTTCTTGCAATTTTGCATACGCTAGGCCCTTGTTCTTGCAATTTTGCACACGCTAGGCCCTTGTTCTTGGAATTTTGCACATACTAGGCCCTTGTTCTTGCTATTTTGCACACGCTAGGCCCTTGTTCTTGCAATTTTGCACACGCTAGGCCCTTGTTCTTGCTATTTTGCACACGCTAGGCCCTTGTTCTTGCAATTTTGCAAACGCTAGGCCCTTGTTCTTGCTATGTTGCACACAATAGACCCTTGTTCTTGCAATGTTGCACACGCTATGCCCTTGATCTTGCAATTTTGCACACGCTAGGCCCTTGTTCTTGCTATTTTGCACACGCTAGACCCTTGTTCTTGCTATTTTGCACAAGCTAGGCCCTTGTTCTTGCAATGTTGCACACGCTAGGCATTTGTTCTTGCTATTTTGCACACGCTAGGCCCCTGTTCTTGCTATTTTGCACACGCTAGCCCCTGTTCTTGCTATTTTGCACACGCTAGCCCCTTTTTGTTGCAATTTTGCACACACTAGGCCCTTGTTCCTGAAATTTTGCACACGCTAGGCCCTTGTTCTTGCAATTTTGCACAGGCTAGGCCCTTGTTCTTGCTATTTTGCACACGCTAGGCCCCTGTTCTTGCAATTTTGCACACGCTAGGCCCTTGTTCTTGCTATTTTGCACACGCTAGCCCCTTTTTCTTGCTATTTTTCACACACTAGGCCCTTGTTTTTGCAATTTTGCACATGCTAGGCCCTTGTTCCTGAAATTTTGCAAACGCTAGGCCCTTGTTCTTGCAATTTTGCACATACTAGGCCCTTGTTCTTGCAATTTTGCACACGCTAGGCCCTTGTTCTTGCTATTTTGCACACGCTAGGCCCTTGTTCTTGCAATTTTGCACACGCTAGGCCCTTGTTCTTGCAATTTTGCACACGCTAGGCCCTTGTTCTTGCTATGTTGCACACAATAGACCCTTGTTCTTGCAATGTTGCACACGCTATGCCCTTGATCTTGCAATTTTGCACACGCTAGGCCGTTGTTCTTGCTATTTTGCACACGCTAGACCCTTGTTCTTGCTATTTTGCACAAGCTAGGCCCTTGTTCTTGCAATGTTGCACACGCTAGGCATTTGTTCTTGCTATTTTGCACACGCTAGGCCCCTGTTCTTGCTATTTTGCACACGCTAGCCCCTGTTCTTGCTATTTTGCACACGCTAGCCCCTTTTTGTTGCAATTTTGCACACACTAGGCCCTTGTTCCTGAAATTTTGCACACGCTAGGCCCTTGTTCTTGCAATTTTGCACAGGCTAGGCCCTTGTTCTTGCAATTTTGCACAGGCTACGCCCTTGTTCTTGCAATTTTGCACACGCTAGGCCCTTGTTCTTGCTATTTTGCATATGCTAGACCCTTGTTCTTGCAATTTTGCAAATGCTAGGCCCTTGTTCTTGCAATTTTGCACACGCTAGGCCCTTGTTCTTGCAATTTTGCACACGCTAGGCCCTTGTTCTTGCTATTTTGCACACGCTAGACCCTTGTTCTTGCAATTTTGCACACGCAAGGCCCTTGTTCTTGCAATTTTGCACACGCTAGACCCTTGTCCTTGCAGTTTTGCACACGCTAGGCCCTTGTTCTTGCTATTTTGCACACGTTAGACCCTTGTTTTTGCAATTTTGCACACGCTAGGCCCTTGTTCTTGCTATTTTGCACACGCTAGACCCTTTTTCTTGCAATTTTGCACACGCTAGGCCCTTGTTCTTGCTATTTTGCACACGCTAGACCCTTGTTTTTGCAATTTTGCACAAGCTAGGCCCTTGTTCTTGAAATTTTGCACACGCTAGTCCCTTGTTCTTGCAAATTTGCACACGCTAGGCCCTTGTTCTTGCTATTTTGCACACAATAGACCCTTGTTCTTGCAATTTTGCAGACGCTATGCCCTTGTTCTTGCAATATTGCACACGCTATGCCCTTGTTATTGCTATTTTGCACACGCTAGACCCTTGTTCTTGCAATTTTGCACACGCTAGGCCCTTGTTCTTGCAATTTTGCACACGCTAGGCCCTTGTTGTTGCTATTTTGCACACGCTAGACCCTTGTTCTTGCAATTTTGCACACGCTAGGCCCGTGTTCTTGCTATTTTGCACACGCTAGCCCCTTTTTCTTGCTATTTTGCACAAACTAGGCCCTTGTTCTTGCAATTTTGCACACACTAGGCCCTTGTTCCTGAAGTTTTGCACACGCTAGGCCCTTGTTCTTGCAATTTTGCACACGCTAGGCCCTTGTTTATGGAATTTTGCACTCGTTAGGCCTTTGTTCTTGCAATTTTGCACACGCTAGGCCCTTGCTCTTGCAATTTTGCACACGCAAGGCCCTTGTTCTTGCAATTTTGCACACGCTAGACCCTTGTCCTTGCAGTTTTGCACACGCTAGGCCCTTGTTCTTGCTGTTTTGCACACGTTAGACCCTTGTTTTTGCAATTTTGCGCACGCTAGGCCCTTGTTCTTGCTATTTTGCACACGCTAGACCCTTTTTCTTGCAATTTTGCACACGCTAGGCCCTTGTTCTTGCTATTTTGCACACGCTAGCCCCTTGTTCTTGCTATTTTGCACACGCTAGGCCCTTGTTCTTGCTATTTTGCATATGCTAGACCCTTGTTCTTGCAATTTTGCAAATGCTAGGCCCTTGTTCTTGCAATTTTGCACACGCTAGGCCCTTGTTCTTGCAATTTTGCACACGCTAGACCCTTGTTCTTGCAATTTAGCACACGCTAGGCCCTTGTTCTTGCAATTTTGCACACGCTAGGCCCTTGTTCTTGCAATTTTGCACACGCTAGGCCCTTGTTCTTGCAATTTTGCACACGCTAGGCCCTTGTTCTTGCTATTTTGCACATGCTAGGCCCTTGTTCTTGCTATTTTGCACACGCTA